TCACAGTTAATTGAAGTCTCAGATGGATTATCTCCACAACGACAACTTGACAGGGCTTGGGCCTGATGTATTTTAGTTAGATATGCTAGCACACTATTATTCTTATGTGGTATTGAGTGAGTCAGTTTAACACAACTCTTTACACGTTCTTGTGAAAACAACCATGAGAACCTACATTTAGTATCCGACAGGATATCATCCGTGTAGCTAGATATAACCAGTGATCCCAGTGAATAAAGAAGTTGTATTTCTGAGTTTGGTTTAATCCACTATTGTAGCATTTCCCAGAAATAAACTAAGCTACAAAATTGCAGGGAGGCTTTGCTAGATTTTTATGTGAGCTCTGGAAAAAGGAAGCCCGAGCATATAATAATATTCAGGTGACTTTCAGTGGTCATTCTCTTTTATTTCAGTTGATTCCAACTAAATGTGTGCCATATACAAGTGCCATTCCGTTGTGTAAATGCTTTTTTTGTATCTTGGTTCTGTTGAATAATGCTGCAAATATTTGCTCACATGAAATGGAAATAGAACCAGAGTCAACGATTCAAACAGACACAAACAAAAACTTTGAAGTGAGATTTGAAAAAGAACTTTTCTGTTGGTCTTCATGTACTTGAGATGTTGGAGATGTTACTTATAACCTCATCTGGAGAGAACTGTGTAAAACATTTGTGGTAAGGTCATGGTCTGAATGTTAGTTGATGCTTAATTCTGGGTGAAATTTGGATTTTAATCAATTTGGGATCAACTTATTATGGTACGTCTTTGTTGGCCATGTAGATCAACTTGATACTTCTAGGTTTGACTTTTTTCCTGAGATGAAACTCATCAAATGCAGTTCATTATATGGCAATGGTCCAGAAGCTTCTTGTTAAATTATAGTTTTATTAATTCTCTTGTTCAAAATTTCAGGGATGGTGTCAGTGAATCTCAGTTTAGTCAAGTTCTGAATGTTGAGCTGGATCAGATTATTGAGGTTTTGGCTGATAAATGCTTTCTTGATGAATATTGAGCTTGACTCGGGGAAACCAAGATATAACTGTACTAAATCATTTGTTTTATTTATTGATTAATCAGGCTTGTAAATTTCTTGATGAGAAGTGGTCACCCAAGTTTGTGGTGATAGTTGCCCAGAAGAATCATCATACCAAGTTTTTCCAGCCTAATGATCCTAACAATGTTCCTCCAGGTACACCACTTGAACTTGGATATTAGTTGCAACTATTGTACTGGATGAAATTACTTACACAGTCACTTTGTGCAGGCACAATCATAGACAACAAAGTCTGTCACCCAAGGAATTATGACTTCTACTTGTGTGCTCATGCTGGAATGATTGTAAGTCTTTATGTTCTCTTTTCCATCTATATTCGTACATTAGCTTTTCTATTTCACTCTTAAGATACTTAATTTAGGTATGTTTCTCCACCCTTTATGGGTAAAGTTCTCTTGTTTGTGGTTGCATTGGCATATGTCTTTGGCATTTGTTTTTTGGTATAACGTTTTACTATAGAGTTCTGCAGAGAATATTTGCATTTTGTGGCAGTCAGTTAACTATTTGCTTTGGGACATATTTGTCCTAGAATATCTAGTTCAATGCGTCAACTTAAATGTCTTATCTGCTGAATGTTTTTGAATCATTTACAAAATCAATCTACTGTTTGCTAATGGTTATTCTTGTTTTGTAGGGTACAACTCGTCCTACTCACTATCATGTCTTGTATGATGAGCTGGGTTTCTCTGCTGATGATCTTCAAGAGCTTGTTCATAATCTCTCTTATGTGTAAGTAAAGCATTAAGTATCTTGTAGATAGACTGATAGCTGCTTCAACTTAGTAGTTTACATCCATATGTTTGCTTTAACAAAGATTGGTATGTCATCCTTGCAGGTACCAGAGGAGCACCACTGCAATATCTGTTGGTAAGTCTCATTTTCCTTGTGCCAAATGTGTTTTTCTTGTCCCATTTCTTTTTGCATTCATTCTCTGTTTTGCTTAAATGCAGTTGCTCCCATCTGTTATGCCCATCTTGCTGCTACTCAAATGGGACAGTGGATGAAGTTTGAAGATGCATCAGAGACTTCCTCAGGTCATAATGGAGTAACCAATGCTGGACCAGTTTCCGTTCCTCAGCTTCCAAAGCTCGAGGAGAAAGTTTCCAGTTCTATGTTCTTTTGCTAAGGCGTGTTAGCCTTCCTGCTTTCTTTTTAATGTGTGTGTGGTTTGTGAATAGTTTCTGGTTCAAAACTCTTTTGAGAAGACGGTAGTTGAATATTTTGTCTAGACTTTTAGCTAAGTAAATCACTCTGCTGAAGATTTTACATCTTTTGGCTTTGTGGTTTGCTCTTTTAACTTATCTCGGATCATGTACCTAATGTTTTGGTTCTGCTACTAAGTTATGGACATGACTAGTAGTTCTTATTCTTGTGCCTTCCATTGCTTTTTTTTTTTTAATCGGTTTTCTGTTTTTAGGACTTGCTAACAGTTGATACCGGCTGCTTATGTGAGATTGATCTCAATCTGATAGCATGTTTCATCCACTTTTTTTGAGTTGTCAAAACTCGAACAGCGGGGATTTTCTTTAGACAGCATTTTGGCTTATATACCATATTTGTTTACTTTATTTGTTGGAATATGTAGTTGACATAATAAATAGACATGTCCACTTTGGATTTGGGTGTAGTAGACACTAAAACTTGAATTAAGAAGGATGGCTTATTGGTTTCATGATTTATGTGTACTCTGCTTACTTCACTAATAAACACTTGGAACTTTCCACTCCGATTGCTGCTTATATTGTAATTATACGAGATTTTTGAATCTGGAGCTAAAAGGGCAACAAAATTATTTATCAAATTAAAAAAGCAACAAATTTAAACACCGTTTAAATCAGGATTTTCATCGAAAGGCACGAATATCCCAGCAACTTGTAAGACGCTGGCAGCTTTTAATGCAGGGAATCTGCAGCCTTTTTCTGAAAAAAATAAATAAAATTTTTTACTACTCTTTTATTGTTATCAATTCTTTTTGTATTAATTATTTACCCAAAATTTCCGCTAGTCTATAATTAACGAAATGATTTTGAATGTGATAAAAAATATACTAAATTATTTACATTGAAAATTAAAAAAAAATTTGAGGAACAAAACCATAAGATTTTTTATTTTTTTTTCTCTAAATTGAGACAAAGGGATCAATTTTCTTGGTCATTTAAATTCTCTAAGACTTCCTTGATGGAAGCATCATATTTTCAGCTGTCAACTCAATGTTTGTATTAGCGTTCAATGAATACACTTGAGTATATTGTCCCAATTTATCAGTGTTTGATGAATACAACCTGGATATGTTGCATCTCAAACAACAAGCTTAGTGTATTCATTGAACGCTAACAAAGAATTACGTTAACAAATATCACAACCCATTTTACTTGCTCAACGTGCACCATTTTGGTTGCATCCGTGAGACGAATAATAATTCAAGATAAAATATGATTAATGCATACTCAAAATTATTTCATCCCACCATTTAGATTAATACTAAGTAATAATAGCATGATATTCCAAATCCAAAAAGAGAAATTTTTGTGTGGCTTTTATCTTTCATAAATATCTTCACTCATCTCACCAGCAAACCTAACAAGTGCATGCATTTATTAATACTATTTTAAGATAAAAAAGTGTTGCACAATAATTGTTGTTAGAGCTATTGACCCACCTTCCATTTTACCTAAATCTAACAACATTCAATACCAGAAAACTCAAAACTAGAACACAACACACAATGTTAGAGATTAACAGAAACAAAGCCAAGCTAATCCCCAGTCTTCCCTCATTCTGTCATGTCAATTTTCATAGTTAGTTTCTTGTACATCCATTTTCCCAACCTTTTAACTCTCAGTCTTTTCCCCGTTTTGAAAGAGACAACACAGCGAACAGGATCAACTCAACCGAGTAGGAGTAGTCAAGCTGGGTTAGAATAGGTAGAAAGCTACTCAATGACAAAGCACTAGACGTCGTTCACATGGACAGAAATGCCATACTATGCACCTTTGCCGTCATTCTATAAACATCAGTAGAAACACTTCTGCATATCTGACCAGCATCTGTCTTGACAAGACTTCCTACTTCAAATGCCACGAGAACAACCTGCTCAGCCCCTGGATGGAAAACATCAAAGCTACATGGCATTCTTGTTTGGATTCCACCCACTTCATGAGTGTTACAAATGTTAAAAGAGATCAACTAGAGTAGAAACACTTCCCCTTCCTCTCCAGGATTCATAAATGTTACAACATAATGTTAAAGAGATCAACAAGGATAGAAACACTACCCCCCTTCCCTTCCTCTCCATGGATAGATTTCAAATTTAAAATTACCAGAAACTTTGGAATAATTCTTATCTCACCCCAGAAAAAGGAAGGAAAAGAAATCCCTACAGTCATTTTGTAAAGCAGTTTATAAACCAATTTTGTGGAATAATTCAGATACCTTTCCCTTCTCCAATCACTATTTTAAGGTTAAAAACAACCCACAAGTTCATACTTTTAAAAACAATCAATGCCACCGTTAATCAAATCTTTACCTATTAAACATCTGTATAGAAATTCAAGTGATAGCGACGTGGAGATAAAATCCGCATTCAATCTATATATAAAATGTATCCTTAACCCCCAGCCCCTACACCACAAGCATAACAAGTATCAACATGGAAAAATTGGAGGAAACAGAAGACACCTGCAGTGAATTGCCATGAACATCACCTTTTACCTGCAACAGCAATTGCTACATGACAATCCTTAAAACAAATTAGCTGATCAATGTGCTCATTACTTTATTTATTTGAACAGAGGGAAAAGCAAAAGTTGCTTGTTATGAGACACAATCCAGTGTTTTGTGGAGCAGTAGAAGAAACCATTCAGAAAATAAGATGATGGAAGTTGAAAAGACATTGCTAAATATCTAAAATACTGGTGAGACAAGGATAGGACACCCTACCTTCTACTCAATACTTTTAATATAGAAAAATTTAGTGCGAAATACTACATAGTGTTTAAAAACATTCACCAGAATAGAAATACTTGAATAAAAAAGAAAATACACATTGAAGATTATGGTCTTTAAACAAAAGGTAACTTTTGAGATAGTAAAAGACTTCATTTGGAGAGTGCCCGGAACTTCAGAAGAATCACCAGTCCAAAACTAAAAGTTTGATGCATTTATGAAGGAATCTGCACAGTGAATAGGTAAAACATAAAAATCGAAGTAGAAAATACTTTTAGCAGAAAAAACCATGAAATGCATCTGTAAAAGGTACCTTCAAAAAAGTGAAAGACAAGTTTAAAGATATTTCTTTTATGTAAGACAGAAAGTTAACACAAACAAGATATGGTAACAGACAGACAAACCAAATGAATATTAGCTGCAAAACTTATAAACTAAGCAACAAATCAATAATTTTTACCTCACTTGGAAGTAGAGCCATAGCATTACAGATACCTGTCCAAGGAAACAGAACCATAAAATTCTAATGCAATTTGATGTGAACTTTTTTATTACAAAAAAAAAACTCTGAACTTTTGATAAAGGCAACTTGAGGTTATTTTATCATGATTTCTCCTTCAGTAGAGCAAAGTTGTGGAAGAACCAATAATCAGCATTAAGTTAACAATTACTATAGCCAAGTTTCACATGCGTAACATCTCCCGAGAGAGGAGTGAGACTAAGATTCCAATATTCCATACTGTAGAGAAAATCTTTCTCCTAAATGATCAGATCTGAAATTATGTTCCACTCCAACTAGATTACCAGATTTGAATGTAATTCTAATCACTTAAGCAAATTAACTGGATTTTATTTTAGTCAAGTATACATTACGCACATTGCTTATAGGTACCCAACCTTTAAAACTAATAATGATCCGGTACATTTAAATTGGATACAAGATAAGCAAATCATTCATTGATCACACGTACTGTCAAGATCATAGTAAGAAATTCCATGTGAATTATATATATAACTGATAGAAACCAACACACAAGGCATGAGAAAGATATCACACCTTAAGTTTTCCTAGTGACCTCCATAGCCAGAGTATGGGGCACCACCCTGTGGTCTTGCACCACCCTGCATCTGAGGTTGGTATTGCATATGAGGCTGAGCTCCATATCCACCCTGGGCACCATATCCTGTTGCATTGTTCACCACTGGTTGCACACCCTGATGATTCACTGGCCCACCAAGACCTCCAAGCAAATTCCCAATCCCCAAACCAGCTCCTTGTGTAGCTAACAGGGCTGTCAGTGCCTGTCCAAGAGCTGGGGTCACAGCTGCCACAGCAGGATTGTATCCCACAGGTGCAGGCCCCGATGGTGCCATTAAATGCCCAGCTGATCCTGCTCCTGCACTGCTACCTGATTTTTCGGATAAAGTAACAATTTTATGACAATCTAGCATAAAAGCAATGCTAAAAAAAATAGAAAACTGCCAGAAAAGCAGAGTTCTTCACTACCTGAATATTTCCCCTTCTTTGCAGGATGCTGATAATAATGCTGCTGCTGATTATGATGATGATGCTGAGGGTAATGCTGTTGTGACTGAGGCTGTTGCTGCTGATGGAAATTCTTACTATGCTTCGGTCCATCAATCGCCTTCTGACAATGAAGGGTATGCCCTTCAAAGGTCTTATGTGGCTCCTCCAATGCCTTCCTAGCACCCTCAACAGTCTTATACACAAACAAACAAAACCCCTTAGGTTTCCCACTTTGCTTATCCAATCCAAGTGGACCCTCCTCAACTTCACCAAACTTTGAGAAGTACTCCAACAACTTTTGAGGTTCAAGATCAGCAGCTACATTGCTAACAAAAATCTTCCTCTGTGTGTACTCCGAAACCGGTGGGGTTGCTGTAGTAGGTGGAGGAGCCGGAACCGGCCCAGCCGAAGCCAACTGGCAAGAAGTCATCCTTGTACCAATCTTCTTCTGTGGTTCTTTCAAAGCTTTCCTAGCACCACTCCTATGCTTAAACAATATAAATCCATAACCTTTCGATTTCCCCGAAACCTTATCTGTAACAGCTTTACAATCCTCAATTTCACCGTAAGTTGCAAAAACACTAGTTAGCGTTTCAGCTGTCGTATCCCAACCTAAACCGTGGACAAAGATTTTCCGGTGTGCCGGATCTTTATCAGCCAATTTCTGAATATTTTCTTTGAAATCAGGGTATTTAGCTAAAGCTTCTTTAATAAGCGCTGTAAGTTGATCCTTCGTAAATGGCTCTAACAGATTCTCAAGTGGCTCATCTTCCAAATCCTCTTCATTACCTTCCTCCATCTTCACCTCAGCGCCTCCATTAACTTGTTCCTGTTCATTAACCGACTTCTCATTATCATCCTCTACGGCGTCATTTCCAGATCCGGGCATTTCTTCTTCTTCCTCCTCATCGTCACCGCCTTCTTCGTCTTCCTCTTCGGGATCTTGTTCTTCTTCGTCCTCATGTACTGCTTCTTCTTCCTCTACTTCTACGGCATCGTTCTCGTATTCTTCTTCTTGTGCGGTTTCAACCTCAGGTTCTTGCTTAATCTCTACTGGTTCTTCAACTGGTTGTGAAGGTTCGGAAGCTCTGGTTTTTCGCTTCTTCGCCATGGGAATATTGAGGTATAGACAGAGAAATAGTTGAAATTAGGGTTTTCTGATTTGGGGGCTAGGGTTTCGGGAGATAGAATGATAAGGTGAAGTAGGGGCTAATATTTATGGTGGAGGTTTGGATTTGGTTATCGGGTCGGTTATGGCAAGAATTGTGTGGATTTCAAAGTGAATAGTTTTTTTTCCCCCGGAGAATCTCAATAGTTCAGTCGGTTATAGTCCTGGTGAAATGAACCCATATTTTGGTAACCCGTCCAATCCGTCTATATTTTAATGGGTTGGGTGAAGGATTTTTTATAGGGAAAATTGTATGAAATAACAAATTATTAATTCAAATTAAATGTTATAGTCATAGTTTATTTTATTTGTAATTAGCAGCAAACATCCCATTTTTTGTCATCTGGTTTGATATACAATTAGTCATTTTTGGTATACAATTACTCATTCGGTATACAAATATATAAAATGTGTTTGTGTTTGTATAAAACGAGAGAAAAATGTATATACAAATATAAATACATATATTGTCGTCTTATACACTTATAATTATACAAATACAGATCTTATTATACAAATTACAATGTATAAATGAATTTATACAAAACTGAACAATCTATATAAAATTGAATGTATCTAGCGAATTATACAAATCAAAAGCTCCATAGCAAACATAAAATTTGTTATGGAGCGCAATTATGCAAACTATAGCTATAACATACAAATATGATTTTTATGTGAGAAAAGAGATAAAATGACACCTGAAGTTGCCCTGAATTTTCAAAAAGACACCTAAAGTTTACGGGTGTTCTATCACCCCATTGAATTATTTCAAATCACAATAAATAAACACTTTTGACACATTTTCACCATAACTGTGTTCTCACATTTGATAGGCGCGTGGAGGAGTAAAAATACACCTCCAAACCAGTGTAAAAAGGCCACGTGACATTGACAATTTGAATTTTCTTCTTTATTAAAAGACCCACTTCCCATCTTCTCCAAAACCTCCATTGATATGTGTTGAAGAGCTTTCCATCTACAACCAAAAAAACATCCTCAATGAAATTTTCATCTAGTTTTACTAGCTTCAATTTATTCTTTTTTTAAATCTTATTTAAAGGTTATGCGATCAACTAATTTGTAAATCCTGAAAGTGCAATTGCAAACAAATTTCAAAACTAAATCAATGAAGAAACATTCAAACTCAAATCAGTCCTAAACTAACACTACCATACACATGAATAATAGATAGCACAAGAAGAAAATAACAACAAATCACTATAAAGATGATTTTTCAAAAAATCACAATATAAAGGAACATTTTTTAAACCAAAATTTGCATTCAAAGAAGCAATTAACATGTGACCCTTCACTTCTTCATTTTGACTCCAAAATTTAAGAAATTATCACTGCAAAATAAATTTATTGTGACTATTGAAATGCTTTAGGGTTTTGATCATCAAAGAGAGAGAGTAGAGTGAAAATTTGAAAGGGGTTTAAGGTTTAAATGAAGCAAGTCATGATTAAAATGTGAATGGGTCAAAAATTTTATCCAATTTTTACTAAATGGGTTGGAAAAAAATATGTAATTATATTATTAATTGGGGTGAAACTCACGCCAAGGCATTGAGAATGTAGATTGTGTAAAAAGTGTGTATTTACTATGATTTTGAAATATTTTATGGGGTAATAGGACGCTCGCAAAGTTAAAGGTGTCTTTTTGAAAATTCGGGATAACTCCAGGTGTCACTTTATGTCTTTTCTCTTATTATGTTTGCTATATGTGAAAGTTGCTCTTTTTTATATGGATAAAATTGTCACGACCCGAGCCTACACCCCGGACGTGATACGACGTACAGGACTCCGAAGAGCCTCATACAAGCCTCATAGCATTCATAACATAAGACATATGAAATAGTGCAGAATTTAAAACTTTTCTTTAAATCCATACAATCGAAAACATCATTTAAAACAACGGAAGTCTACTTGTCTCACATGACCATCTAAAAACATCTTGAATCAAAAGTAGGGTCACGACCCTTACAATAGAAAGTCTAAAACTATTAAGTACAATGAAAGACATGAAACATCAATAAATCATTTGTCCTCGGATCCATGAGGACATACCACAAGCTTTGGAGGAACTCAATCCAAACCCTTTGAACTAGAAGGAAACAACTCACTTGTCGGAACCTACACTTTGTAGAAAAATAGAAGAAATATGGGTTAGCACACAAAAATGTACTAAGTATGATAGCCATGCAAAAACCATGCTTGAAAAGAACATTTTGCTTGAAAACCATGCTATATGCCAATTTTGAGAAACATCATGAAGTTTAGTATAAAAGGCATAAGATACAATCACATTCAACGTACAAGTCATTTCATCACATTAGAACCTTCACCTAAAGTAACCCTAAGCTATACTTGTGCAATGTAAGAATAGCATCTCATAATACTATTCATACTAAGTACCACTTTGAGGCCACCTTAGATGAACTTACCATTCTTCCTTGATCATTTTCTTTAGTCAATACTCATACATAAGGAACACAAACATTTCATAAATCATGACAAGAAAAGTAACTCATAATACAAACCAAGTAAAACATGTATAATTACATTAAGCATTTCAATCAGTATTCTCATTAGCTTCATTAAGAGCACGTTCGTTCATTAGACATTAAGACATTGGAGAATCACACCATAGCCCTCTCAAAGCCTACTCGTGCAATGCATGGATGACATCCTATATTACCACCCACACTTCATAGAACCTGTCTCTCCCCAGAAAATTTTTGAGCTAAGACTTGAACCATCCTTCGTTGGGAGTAGGATTTTACCGAGGAATTAAAATTTCTTAAGTTTTAAGTTCACTAGATGTATCACCTTGAGTTCGAAAAAGACTAAATTGGAAATAGCAAAAATCTAAAATTTGCAAGTTAAGCTAAATATGAGTTTTGGGTCAACTTAAAATGACCATAACTCATATATCAGCAGGTGTTATATGTAATACCAGGTACCTTAGGAAATATCTTTGAATTATCTTTCCAACGCCACCGAGTTTGCTAAGTTTCGAGTTCGGATGAGTGAGATATGGCCTTTTGAAGTTAGACTGTCAAGTTAAGGAAAGTTAGCCAAAAATAGTGAGGGGTATTTTGGTCTTTTCCTTACCCAATCTGATTTAATTCATTTTTAGTAATATTTTAGGGTAATCCTATTCGGTTCAGTTTTATAATCCTAAAATTAGCCTAGGATTTTAGTTGAGAGTTCAAGAAAAGAAAATAAGAGAAAATAGGAGAAAAGAGGAGAGGATCAAGCGTCCGTCGAGATCTTTGTGTGTTGTAGCGGATTTTCGCCATGGGTTTGATCCCTAAGAGGTATGTGAGATCACATAGCGTTGGGCTAGTTCACCCACGCACCAAACATGTTTAATTCAGCGTATTTTCATCCTAAAAAAATTGAGAATTTGATGTTCTCGATAGTTGTTTTTGAATTGATTTTGTTCTTGAACATGAGTTGGGATTAAGGAGTTTCTTGATGATTAAGTGTTGTTTCTTTAAGTTCTTGAGTTAGATTTTGTGTATATGATCTGGGTACATGAATCTAAAGTAAATTTGAGAAAAAGAATCGAATTAAAATGATTTAGGATCAGAAAACGAGATCAATAGCTCGTCAGAATTTTGCCTGAAGGGAGGCTGGGGCGGCGCGCCAGCAGTGCGCCGGATTTGAACCCCAGTAAGTTGGGGCTGGCGCGACGCACCACCATAGCGCCAGGCAGGCTGGGGCGGCGCTCCAGCAGTGCGCCAGATTTGAGCCTCAGTAAGTTGGGGCTGGCGCGGCGCGCCTGGGGTGCGCCAAATCGTCGTTTTTCACCAGTTTTCGTCGTTTAGCCTATTTAAGTCCTTCTAAAGTGTATTAACACTTC